CAAGGTCCTTCCAGGCTCACTCTTACCTAAGACTGGTTTTATTCACAGCACAAGACAGAAGAACTTTTACAACTCATAAATAATCATTAAATAATTATTTGGTTATATGAATACTAAATGAACTGTTTTGATTAATCTGTGAAATGAATTATTACATTGAAAGATTTATATATGACGATCAGTGTCAAGTTTAGGAAATCAGGTACCAAGGTAATCAGGTTGAAAACCTTCAAACAGAAACAGATTATATGATTACAAACCAAAAAGAATAAATTATCTTGCCTAATCTAAGCAGGTAATGTCATGTAACTTTATTTAACAGTAGAATGTTGTCAGATCCATACCAGTAGCCTCTTTGTGGTTTCCCCCAAGCTGAACAGTCTTTTTTTTCTTTTTGCTGCATCCGCTTCCCTTCTGAGGTGCAGACTGAATTTGTTTGCATCCTGCAGACAGGTGCTCTCACTCAGCTGATGAGCTGATCAGACAGGAATGGTGGTGGTGTTACTCGGCCTCCAGAGCAGTGGCGGCTGGTGAAAAATATTTTTGGTGGGGCTGTGCTATTTTTTATTTTTAAACAAACTTGTGCTTTCTGAGCTTTGTGCACAACTTCACTATTTCCTGAATTAAGCACAGCTCTTTTATTTCCTGTCTTACATCATTGGACAAACTGATTAATCCAGGTGTGTCTATTGGCACGCTGCCTTGTGGACCAAGGTTGAAAAATACTGCATTAAATTGCACATAAAATAACATGACCATAAATGGTAAATAGGCAATGCAAGAGGCAAGTAACAAAAACATTTTGTTTAATTTCAACATTTGAGTGAACACGAAAAATTATGAGCAGGTCACTGTTACAGTAATGGTAGTAAACACTACTTAGACAAAATGCCAGAAATTTACACTGTTAGGACTTATGGAAAGTGGAAACACTTTCATAGGAAATAATGTCATCAGTATCCTCTTACAAATGTCATATTTCCCACTTTTTGGGACAAATCAGAAATGTTTTATTGTCCCAAAAGCTGGGAAATTTGTTTGCTGCAGCAGAAGTGTAACAAGTAAAATGGAATCAGATTGATGTATGTACAAATTTACTTGAAATACACATTTACATGATTAAATATGTATAATAGGTATGTGTGTTGAAATTAGTTTTTACAGTTATTGCACATTAAACATGTTATTAAACAAATGTCCCTGTTTGTGGGACAACCAAGGATTTCTGATTCTGATTGTCTTGTTTACAGAAATGTAATGTACAGCTTACCTCTGCACCCAGCTGCTATTCTCCCTGTCCAAACGTCCTCCGTTTCTTTGTTGGCTGCTGCACTGATGCGCTGCATTCCTCAGTCAGAGAATGAATGGAGTCCCCAATGAGACACAAGTTCCACATCCACCTTCTGTGGATCCCAGCCGTTTTGAATAACAAACACGGAAAGCAAAATAACGCATTAGCGTGATTGCATCCAGCTAGCCACTGCTTCCTGGTGTACCAATTTTGGGAGAAGCGTCGTGTGTACAGTTTACCCTTCTCCTTGTCCTGCTGGCTTATCTTTACGTCGGGCTGATCTGGTCCAAGCTCTTTGACATTAAGTTTTTCCACCATAGTTCTCCTCTCAAACGGATACTGGAGAAGAGACCGAACTGAATTCAGTGGCTGCTGAGATCCGGTATCCTGGTTGTAGGCTCACTGGCGTCCATGTCTGCGTCTGCGTCATGACCGTCACGAGTCAACGACCAAAAACGTGCTGGAGTCGAGACTCTCCGAGTTCTACCGAACACCAACGAAAGCCTTGGCGGTAGCTCTATCGCCCATCATGCTTCTGAAACGTTCTGAAACAACGTCGACGCTGATTGGATACATTCCCATTCCTACCCTTTGATTTTCTTGTCAGCAATTGGACAGCTGGTCTCGTCCTGTTTGGGCGATTGAAAAACAACACACAGCCTCCACCGCTCGGCAGAGACCGGCAGATACCAATATATATATATATATGATTTATTTTTGTTACAAAACACACAATTAACTTAGAATATGTGATTATTGTTAATTTTATTTATTTTTTTAAATAAAAATTAAAAACAGTGGGGAAACTGGGAGGGCGGCGCCCTATCGCCCTCTACTGGCCAGCCGCCACTGCTCCAGGGGGTGCAATTACTGATTGGCTGACTGATCTGACTTTGAGCCTGACAATCAGGAATGTTGGATTTAACAAGCAAACCATTATCTACACTGCATATCTCCTCATGACGCAAGGTTAATGTCATTGCAGACACACAGATATTTTCTTACCCACAAATCAGAGCATCCTGCTTCTGAGAAGGCGTGATGTCTGAGGTTTGGTGGTTGACACTTCTTAACATGTCAAGCTCCGATTGGCCACACAAATCATAATATGAGAATATTAAAAGAGAATCACTCTGGTGATTCAGCAGTCGCATTCCAGCTTCCATCACTCAGCATTCAGTTCTAGAGAAAGAGGTCAGGAACAGCCATCCGGAGTGAAGCCTCTTTAACCCAGAGCATTTTTTGGCAAGCTGCCAAAACCCTGCTAAGAGCTGACACAGCAAACGGTTCGTGCTGAACAAAGCTGATATTGTTCCGACTCCTTAAGAGTCCTCCGAGACGCAACGGTTCCATCTGTCGTGACCCGGAAAACATCTCTGGACTGAAGGGTCAGTGCTACGGTCATTCTACAGCCCTCAGTGCCAGAGGTCATCCACCTCTTTGACCTTCGGATCCACGAAGAGGGTCTTCCAAAGGGTGAGGTAGACACACAGATAGCGTCTGATGCTTTTTGATGAGAATCAACCTCGTAGCTTAACGCAAACCAAATTTTTTCCCTTTTAGACCAGAACTCAGCTCTTCTAGATACGAAAGTTCTGATAACACCATATTCCATCCACCACAGTAAATATTAGTAATCTTGTCATGTCTTAATTGTTTGGAAAATAAATTCTTACTTTTACAAACCTGAATAAACAAAGAATCCTAGAATCTTCTGATTAAACATCCTACACACTTAAAACTGCTGGGTTAAAAATAACCCAACTTGGGTTATTTTGTAACCCAGGCGCTGGGTCAAAAAGGGACCGACCCAACGCTGGGTTGTATTAACCAAGCAGGGTTGGGTTATGGGTTTGACCCAGCATATTGGGTTATGTTTTCTACCCAACTAATGGGTTAAAATGACCCAACTGTATAATTAGGGTAACCCAAAACTGGGTTAAAAAGAAAACCCAACTTCTGGGTTATTTAATAACTAAAGATTGGGTTAAAATGACCCAATTCTAGAATATAGGGTTATATGAAAAAAATAAAATAAAATGCTTAATGAATAACTTAGTACACAAAATGAACATGTCTCAGTCAATTCTTTATTGACCACATAAGTTTTTTCATTTTTAAAATGCATAACAATATTAATACAACTGAAGAGTATTTAAAAACATTTATGGTCCCGCTCATTTTTTGTAAAACTCTGCTTATTGCATTTGTGTAAATGTGTTTTAATGACAAATATTAAAATATTAGACACCTGAAGATCATGAACATTTTCAACCCAATGCTAATGGAAGAACTGTACTTACGTAAATGTCCAAAAACATGTAATTCATCCCCATGCTAGCAAAACATCAACTTTAAATCATAGCCAACTGAGCCCTCATTAGCTTTACAGCATTTGATTCATGCCCAGGCATTTCAAAGATGACCGTTTGAATGAACTCCCAAACTTGGGCACATGGTTTTGGGTAATTCACATCAAACACAAAAAATGTTTTAAAACAGCCATCAACTGCACCCAAAAGTGAGGGATATTCCATGGCAGTCCCATTGAGGATAACGAATGCTTGGGAACATCGATGGCATTCACCAAGCATAAGAACATGTGGGTCGTCTGTTGTGGCCCCGGTCAGGTACTCCACCATGTTGGTTCCAGTCCTAAAGTAAGGGGAATTGAAGAAAAAAAAAAGAGAAAGAAAGGGAAAAAAATTAAGGCATGAAAAAGATATGGTTTCATACAAGTTGTGGAAGCATATTTGGAGTTGGCTGTAAATAATAGTGGTGCAACTGTACAGATAGCCCACGGTACGGTCTGTAGTACGGTTTTTAGACCACGGTCTCAGTATGGTTTTGGCATACGTTTTGTGCAGAAAGGCTGCTGTTTGTTATCCCAAGTTGTTACACAAGTAGCGGGAGGTATTGCACAGACCTCAGCATAAAGAGCCCCTGCTGCTAGTGGGGATGCTATGCATAGTAGGCCTAACTTCCTGAGCCTCATCATGTCAAACAAACAAAGGGAGGGTGGTCAAATAGTAAAACACTGTCTGGAGCACAGATAGTTGTGTCACAGATTTTCTGTTCCATTATATCTAATGAAGTAGATTGATGCTGGGAAGCTAAGTAGCTAGCTAGCTACTCGAAGCTATATTCGGTTGAAAAGCTCTTGTAGGCTTAAAATCTCTTTGTTTACTGCATTACCTGCCTTCAACTGCTTTACCGGAACACATTTTCAAACTCCATCATCAACATCTTACCTTATTTTTAAACCTTGCTGATGTGAAGGTCCATGGAAATGAGGCAAGTCCTTGTCATCCTCCACTTTAAAATGGTGAAGCTGGCACAGACGAGGGGGAGGATCCTTCTTTTTACCGCCCTTTTTAACCCAACATGCTGGGTCAAAATGTTTGACCCAATGTTGTATTAAATTGACCCAACTGCTTAAAAATCAGCCTTAACCCAGCAGTTGGGTTAGCAAAATAACCCAGCATTTTTAAGAGTGTAAGATCAAGCAGGTCGATATTCTATATTTATATAAAGTATCACAGCTTATTGGTCATAAGTAGAGGTAATATATTAAGCTCTTAAAGCACTCAATTTACCAACTCCTACAGCTGCATGTTTGTGGTTGATCCAGATCAGGATGTTAGGTTTTATTTGTGGTATTCATCTTCTCTGAGTAAATGACCGACTCTTGTCTAAAACACACCACATATCAGATATTCCATGTATTTTATTGGGTTTGTTTTGTTTTGGGAAACCCGCCGTTGGCAATGAAAACAATAAATATGGAAACGATGCAAAACATTTTCCTAATGAAGCATTTTACACAATGTACAACGTTCTCTCCTCTTGATGATTCCCTGTACATTCCCAAACAACTATAGCATCTTCATGCAGAAACCCTGAAGGCGGGAAACGAAAAACCCCAAATTAAACTCCTTGTGTGGATTTTCATGTTAAAACTGCTAATAAACCACCAAGAGAGAAAAAAAAAAGATCTGAGCGTAAAACTTAAAATGTCAGGGTGTCCATCTGCTCAGTGTGCTACGATGGGGGCTGCGAGTCGCTCCGTGCTCTGTCATTCCCAGGAATCTGTTTGGTATCTGCGTGGAAACATCAGTAGTCCGTGTCGGAGCCCTCAGCATTATCCACGTTCCGGGACAGCATGTAGTTGTCCATGTCAATGGAGCGGCAGTTATTGATAGCGTACCGCAGTCTTTCAGCCATGACAGCCTGAGTGGAGTAGGGTGGCAGACGCAGCTGGAAAAAGCAGGTCTGAGAGGTGGGAAGGCTGTCGTACGGCTGAAACAAACAAACAAACAAACAAGAACAAAGTCACGACTCAGCAAAACAAATGTTTTCACTTCGATGTAACGATTCTGGTTCTGAAGGCTGATACTGATTTAACTCATCACATTACCAGTCTTCATTAAAGGGACTTTACAGAGTTTTGAATTTTTATGCTCGTGATCGCCCCCTCAGGCCAAAAGCGTAACGGCAGCTTCAATAGTAGGCTTGTGCACGAGGCGAGGCGCGCATGCTGTACGTGCACACTCCTTAACAAAAATAACAGCTGAGACAGTCCCGTGTGTGTGTGTGTGTGTGTGTGTGTGTGTGTGTGTGTGTGTGTGTGTGTGTGTGTGTGTGTGTGTGTGTGTGTGTGTGTGTGCGCGAGTGTTGCCAGGAGGACAGAACGCACAGCTAATTAATTAAATAATGTGGTTCTGTACCTTTCTCTTCAGCACAGCCGACAAAGGTTTAAGATGGGTCAGTCCTCCTGCATGCTCAGATCATTCCCTTCCCTTGCTTGAAAAATTGTTCCAAAATGAAAGTTGAACCCACATCTTTTTATCTGTGACTTAAATGCCGTTCCACGATTCTCAAATAAAAGTTCACACCCAGAATCAAACCCAGGTCTTCTGCATGAGAGTCAGACATCTTACAAGGTGAGCTACACACCAGTAAAGTTCATAGCATCTGTAAATTTTATATCCTTGATGACAGCTGAAACAACGTCAAACCAAAGAACGGTTCGGAGCGAAAATGGCTATTTTGTTACTAATTTGCAGGAAATATCTAGAAGAAAGTAGCTAAGGGTCCTCAGAAATGTAGCTAGGTTCATCACTAGGCATTAGGAACAGCGACAAAGACTAAAGCTACTGATAGCAAATGCTACGTGCTATGCCTGAGCGTGAACGCGCATGAAGCAGCCTGCTCGACCCGAGCATCTCTCTTTTTCTGTGATTTTACAGAAAAACAGGCAATCACAGTAAAAATGCCAGGGCTCATTCTACAGGACCAGGGCATTGCAGGAGAATGTATGAGTGACAACTAATGAAAACTCCAAATTTGGTATCTCAAAAAATTAGAATATTCTGAAAAGGCTGAATATAGAAGACACCTGCTGCCACTCTAATCAGCTGATTTACTCAAAACACCTGCAAAGGCCTTTAAAAGGTCCCTCAGTCTTGTTTTGAAGGCACCACAATCATGGGGAAGACTTCTGACTTAACAGCTGTCCAAAAGACAATCATTGACACCTTGCACAAGGAGGGCAAGACACAAAAGGTGATTGCTAAAGAAGCTGGCTGTTCGCAGAGCTCTGTGTCCAAGCACATTAACAGACAGGCGAAGGGACGGAAAAAATGTGGTAGAAAAAAGTGTACAAGCTCTAGGGATAACCGCACCCTGCAGAGAATTGTGACGACAAACCCATTCAAAAATGTGGGGGAGATCCACAAAGAGTGGACTGCAGCTGGAGTCAGCGCTTCAAGGACCACCACGAGGAGACTCATGAAAGACATGGGATTCAGGTGTCACATTCCGTGTGTCAAGCCACTCTTGAACAAGAAACAGCGCAAGAAGCGTCTCGCCTGGGCCAAGGACAAAAAGGACTGGACTGATGCTGAGTGGTCCAAAGTTATGTTTTCTGATGAAAGCAAGTTCTGCATTTCCTTTGGAAATCAAGGACCCAGAGTCTGGAGGAAGAGCGGAGAAGCACAGAATCCACGTTGCATGAGGTCCAGTGTAAATTTTCCACCGTCAGTGATGGTGTGGGGTGCCATGTCATCTGCCGGTGTTGGCCCACTCTGTTTCCTGAGGTCCAGGGTCAATGCAGCCGTCTACCAGGAAGTTTTAGAGCACTTCATGCTTCCTGCTGCTGACCAACTTTATGGGGATGCAGACTTCACCTTTCAACAGGACTTGGCACCTGCACACAGTGCCAAAACCACCAGCACCTGGTTCAAGGACCATGGTATCCCTGTCCTTGATTGGCCAGCAAACTCGCCTGACCTTAACCCCATAGAAAATCTATGGGGTATTGTGAAGCGGAGGATGCAATACGCTAGACCCAACAATGCAGAGGAGCTGAAGACGACTATCAGAGCAACCTGGGCTCTCATAACACCTGAGCAGTGCCACAGACTGATCGAGTCCATGCCACGCCGCATTACTGCAGTTATTGAGGCAAAAGGAGCCCCGACTAAGTATTGAGTGCTATACATGCACATTCTTTTCATGTTCATTCTTTTCAGTTGGCCAACATTAGAGAAACAAACATTTTTTCATTGGCCTTTAGAATATTCTAATTTTCTGAGATACCAGATTTGATGTTTTCATTGGTTGTCACCTATAAATATCAAAATTAAACGTAATAAACATCGGAAATACATTGGTCTGTGTGCATTGCATGAATATAATGTACAAGTTTCACGTTTTGAATGGAATTACTGAAATATTTTCAACCTTTTGATGATATTCTAATTTACTGGCCAGCACCTGTATTTGCACTCCCCACTCTCCCTCAGAACTCTCCTTTCATGTTGACTCTGAGAAGATGAAACATCTAAACTAAGGCCCTGTCCACACGTAGCCAGGGATCTGCCAAAACGTAGATATTTTTCTACGTTTTGGCCTGTCATCCACACGAAAACGGATCTTTTTAAAAACTCCGGCCAAAATGAAGATCTGCGTTTTCTCCGTTTTGGGTGTCTGCGTGTGGACAGACAAAACCGGAGTTTTAAGGTCTGCAACGTCACTTTCCGCGACAAAAAAATGCTGACATCACGTGTGCGACCTGTGTTTACACTAGCCGACATCATGGAAGCCCTCAGAGCTGCGTTCTGTCACTACCCGATCCATCAATTGTCCAAGCGCTTTCTGCTTGTTTGTTTTTGCAAGCGGAATTACTGCTCCTTTCGGAAGACCACAGACGAAGGACGAGGTTAAGAACGGGGGAAGTACTGCCGCCTACAGGTCTGGCATGTCCTTAACAATGTATTTATCCGGGTACGTGTGGACAGTTATTTTTTAAAATGCGGTGGTGTGGATGCAAGTTTTTGGAGGGGCGGATATTCGTTTTTAAAAAAAAACCCGGCTACATGTGGACTAGGACTAAACCAGACAAAGGCAGCAGAAACAACTCACGGTGTAGAAGCCCAGGTTCCTCAGCAGCGTCTTCATGAGGATCTCAGCCAGGTGTGTGTCGGGTGGGCCCGCCGTGGCGCCGTAGGCAGGGTCGGGATATGCTGTGAACGTCAGAACTGAGGATGGGACCTCAGGTCCGTCGGTGGGAGAGCTGTAGCCCAGGAGCGAGGCCACGTGGGTGTGGTCCTGGAGGCTGGTCAGGATGATGTCCAGCTGCATCCTCTTAAGGTCAAACAGGAAACACAACAACAGCTTCACATGTCACTTCCCATTCGGTCAAACATTCGTGAATGTTAATTTATAAAACTGCTTTCGTTGTTTAGACATGGTAGGATGTTTGACTTTAAATGGCTCAGTTTCAATAAATAGATTTTATTAATGATCATTATGAGGATCGCTGTAAAGACTCTGACACTAGTCAGTGACTCGATGCAACCTGCTGGGTTCCTTATATAGGAAACTTGTTACTGACTGGCTTAATGACCTGACCTGTATTGGATTGTTTACTATGTGAAGTGCCTTGAGACGACTCGTCGTGAATTGGCGCTATATAAATAAACTGAATTGAAAATTATTATTAGTGCTATTATTATTAAGTGAGTGAGCTGCCAGGCACACAGACTGGTCCAGGATCAGCAGAGGTACCTGTCCTTTAGAGAGACTCTCCCATCTGTCTGGGCCCTGAGGCAGCAGTGAGTGAAGCAGCTCCATCCGTTCTCTCAGAGGAGGCAGCAACATGGTCGCCCCCACAGAAAGTGTCTCGATGACAGCCTAGTGAGATAACACAGTCAGCAGACTCGTACCACTTAAAAAGTTCATTCTCGATGAACCAGGAATCGTTTGGAACTGTAACATTTGCAGAATATCAAATTAAAAGCCTCTCTCTAACGCCGGGGACACACCGGCCGCGGAAGCGCCGCGAAGCGCCGAGAAGCGAATCGCTCACGAAATTCGGCCGCTGCTCGCCGCTCCTCAGTTCAGATCAGACGCGCCCCAGCCTCGGCTCAGCTGTAGTTTTTCTTTTAAACACTTGGTGTCCTCCATTTCCTCTCTGCCTTTTCTCAGCTCTTTTCCTACGTTTGAGTGTTTGTGCGCGCGCGCGCGCGCGTGTGTGTGTGTGTGTGTGTGTGTGTGTGTGTGTGAACCTATGGTATGAGTTGTTTCTGCCAGTTGAATCTCTTGGAACCCGCTCCAATTCTGCAGCTGTATCCTAGCAGTTTCTTCCGACATGGGTACGTAAACAATCATGTTTTTCGGGGGTCGTACAGCTCCTTGTGTTTCTCAACTTCCATAATTCATTTAAAGTCGTCCATCCTAACTGCTTGCCTCAGACTTTCTGCCTCTCTGTCCTGTTTGCTCCGGTGAAAAGACACCCAAAACCACACCCCCCTTCACGTGGTCACACACGCACACAAGTTCGATGTGTGTGTATGTGTGTGCGTGTTCGTGTGGTTTTTCTGCAGTGTCTGTTTACGAACACATTTGACTATTGCGGAATTTTATTTTGAAATGCTTTATTTTGTTAACTTTACCGGCCTGCCTCTTATGTCTACGTTTGACTTCCTGCCAGAATTGACGCGATTCACCCGCGGCTCGCGAAAAAAATAGAGCCAACGCCGAAATGATCGCTGCACGGCGCGGGCTGGAGCACCGGCGAGCGCCGGCGCGAGGCGATTCGCGGCACTTCGGCGGCCCATGTGGTCTATAGAATAGCTTAACAAGGGCGCCGAATGAAGGCGGTCCCATTTTCGCGGCGCTTCTGCGGCCAGTGTGTCCCCGGCGTAACTTTCAATTTTGTATTTACTAGATTACAATAAACGAGAGCATAAATGCTGATTCATGATAACTTCTTCTAAATGTTGTTCTGGTCCACTTTCTTCACCTTCTGATTGGGTTTGACACAGATGGTCCATGTAAAACATCTCACAGGTCCTAGTTAGGGTTATGATCCAGTAGAAAGTAAATCAGAGCAACTTTGCTTCTGGTACCTCCTGAATTTCATCTGGCACAGATGCATCCATCAACCTGAAGAGCAGATTCCTCAGCGGCCGGGCCTGTCGACCCAGAATACTTGTGGCCACGCCCCCTGCCAGAGCCAGAGCCAGGTGATTGGATAAAAGTCGAAGGCACAGCTTCAGGAAGTTGTGGTGTTCTCTGCACACACAGAAACGTTTTTACACTGAGGAGAATGAAAAGATTGGACCCATCAGTGCTGATAGCTGCACACCTGGAAGACGGGAAGGGAAGAGGGGGAACATCGCTGTTGATGCCATCACAATAGCGCTCCAGGAAAGAGCGCAGGTGAGAAAAGGTGCTTTCTTCCAGGTCGACACAGTAAGGCCGATGCCAGGCCACCACCTGCCTGCAGAGCCACAACAAATCCCGATCAGTAAGATAAAATCATCCATCCGTCACACAGTGGATGATCCGATGAAGATCTCAGGTCCAGGTTCTGGTCTTTGGTTTGTGATCATCGGTGCAGAGCGTTATCCTCTTTAGGATCATTGATGACATGACCTCTCACCTGTCTCTGGGCAGGGCGGTCCAGGCCAGGCTGTGGGATGTCCCAGCTGAGATCTGCTGGATGGCGACTCCGTCCAGGCCGACCACCTTTTTGGGCTTGGTGATGGGTCCGGTGGAGTTTCCCTGACCACACTGACCCATGGAGTTGTTCCCCCATGCATAAACCTCATTGTCTGGAGGAACATGCAGAACAAATAATAAACACTCAGGTGAAACATTTATGTGGATTTCATGTTAACTGGTGCTGAAGTTAATGATTAGCTAAAACAAATGTTGAGTTATTACATCATCCTTCTTACAACACGTCTACAAACACGATCTAACCGAGTCAGCACTTGAGCCCGAGTCCACCTTAACATGGCCTACGGTTACGAAAGCAAAAACCTGGAAATACCGTGAGACAGGGCCAGGCAGTGGCTGTCCCCGATGGAGATGTCCACCACTCGGGTCGTAGCCAGCTCCTCGATCAGTTTGGGTCTGAGTGCTGTAGCTTCAGAAGAACCACAGCCCAGACAGGCGCCGCAGCCCCAAGCAAACACCTGGGCCGGCGCGGGAGACAAACATCAGAGACATTCACTTCGCACATAATTCCACGGTTTGGGAAATTTAAACAATCATCCTGTATGATCATTCCTGGAGTCTAAATGATTGATGATGTCTGACGGCCGTTCCTTCCCGTCTAGAGGTTGATCTGACCCGTGAGACCAGGTCCAAACTCAGGGTGTGAAGTTTAACCCAATTATAATTCTACTTGCTTTGGCTCCAAAGACAACAAAAACGATGCAATCGACAAAAACTTCACTTAAAGTTGTTTATCATATTCCATAGATTTTGTCTCGACCTTCAGGTGACATTGAGCCTGTTGATTTCCTTGTTGTGGAAAATGCAGGCGACGTTACTAGCTGCATGTGATCAAACACATCTGGAATTTTACATGCTTTACCAAACAGCTGTGAGGAAATACAGGAGTTAGTGCTTCGGCTGAGGTGGACGGTGGATCCTACCTGTCCGGTGGAGGTCAGAGCCAGAGAAGACTGGCTTCCTGCACACACCTTCCTGATGAACATCCCCTGCAGGGCTTCCACCACTTTGGGCTTGTAGACCCGATTAGTATCACCATGTCCAAGTTTTCCTAGAGGACACAACATGTCCTTTAATCAGAAAAATTGGGAGATTACATCTTGAAATGGTTTCCACGGTAACCGACAGGTCACACGGAGGGTTGACCAACCGTTGTCTCCTCCTCCAAAGGACCACACAGTGCGTCCGTCCTTGGACAGGGCGATGGTGTGGGAGCTTCCACATGAAACCTCTCCAACATTACTGATGTCTTTGACCAGAGTTGGAATGTTGCGGCTGTTGCTGTCGCCGTCTCCTACAATCACACACACACACACGCACAAGCACGCACACACACACACAGAGAATAAAATACAGCAATCTCACTAAACCCGGAGTAAGTCTAAGGTCCAGTAAGAGACTCTGGGGAAAATTTCTGATTAGTCAGTATCTTGCCTGCAGCAGAAAACAGTCAGATGGCTGCAGCTGCTGCAGGTAAGATACTGAGCTGATTCACCAATCAGATGTTTCTAGTTTTGGAGTTTTGCATCGGGATAATATTGGAGAGTAAAACAGGTTATTGTGACTGAAGCTGGAGTAAACGTACCTAACCGTCCAAAGTCTCCTTCACCCCAGGTGTACAGCTCTCCATCCTCGCTGACTGCAGCACTGTGTCTATAGCCAGCAGACACACACACAACCACCTAACATGCATGCACACACACACACACACACACAGAGGAAACAATCAGGACTATAAACATAACCCAGCAGCATCAGCTGAGTTCCTCTCCACCTGGATTCTAAATATCAAAGGTGTTTCCAGGTGACACCTACCTTCCCCTGCAGTGGCCCCTGGATGAGTTTGGGGTACTTCTGAGTTGAGCTGTTCCCGTGACCCAGTTTCCCATAATCACCGTCACCCCAGCTGAACACCTCGCCCTCTGTGGTGAAGGCCAGCGTGTGGCCGTCAGAGCCCTTAGACGACAACACCTTCTTGATGGCTCGATGGGGTTCAAAGGTCAGCTTCTTGAGAGTCGACTGGTTGTTAGAGTCTCCGAGGCCCAGCCGGCCGTAGCTGCCTTTCCCGCAGGCCCGAACTGAACCATCAGAGGAGATAACAAAGGTGCAGTACTGACCCGCCTCAATCTGCAGAAACAAGAAAGGTTTAAAAGCTTTGAAAGTCAGAAAAACCACCTAAAGTACCCAGAACAGTTGTCGGGCCATGATGGTCGTCAGTCCAGAACTCCTGATCCAGTCTTCATCTCTTTTTATTTTCCTTCCCAGCCACTCCCAATAATCAGACCTATTGAATGTCTTTGGCTGATGTTCCTCCCAGTTCCTGTTCTCCCAGGTTGGGTTTAAGTCTTTGCTGGACTTGTTCCTGCTTCAGATCAACTCCCATAAACATTTAATGTCCAGATGAACATCATGTAGGTGTTGGAGTTCCAACCAAAGCTGAGATGAAAACCAGACAACGTCTAAAGGGAAACTGTTGAAGAAACAAACTTAAAAAACAATATGCTAAATTCCCACTGGAATCACTCTAAACTGGAACGTAGAACACCTCTGAAACGGAGCAGGGGCAATGAAGTGTAGTTTGTATGAAAATTTTGTCAAATTTAGATACAAAGTGTCTTAATGACATCACATTTTATTCAGAAATCTGGTCTCTAACTCCTCTTAAGAGTTGTCTCACATTATTTTCTAACTGACTGCTGTGAGAGCATGCTGACAGAATGTTTCCTGCCTAAATATCTTTAAAACTCCAGTAAAAGGACAGTGAGGAAAACTCTTGGGGGGGGGATTTGAGGAAACTCCCTTCAGAATGCTGTCCTGTATAAGTCATTAACAGCTCAGTGCGATACTGGCTCTGGAAAACAAAACGCTGAGTGTGAAGAACATGAGTGGAAGGAGCTCTTCCTCGTACCGTCTGAGCATCAGTGAAGCTGGCGGCCAGCTTCGGCTGCAGGATCTTCTCCTGAGTTCCCTCCACCAGCTGGTGACTGCTGTTGCTGCCCCACACGTAAACCTCACAGGTCTCAGAAACCACCGGAGCCTCGCCGGTCTGAATGCTGTCGGGGCTGACGCAGGTACGAGAGTAGACTGATGCCATTCGACACACCTGGAAGGACATGGTTTTACTTAGTCAGCCCCCCCGAGAGCCTTTACAACAGTCATTCACACACTGGTGATGACGAGCTGTGTACAAAATGAACAAAGTAATGGATTACTTCATAGTTTATCTGCTATGTCCTCATTTTTTTTCAAGGTGCGCTGAATGCATCATTTAGTGTTTGTTATGGTGCGCAGCCGCCGTTAGATAAACCATTCTAGAACATACTAGCCAAAGTGCTTCCTCTCTTAACTTGCCAAAATAAAAGAAACTTCCTGAAAGCCACAAACTGCAGACTGTTGCAGTTTGCACACATGGAGTCAGTGACAAGGTCTCTGCCGCAGAAGCATTTTAATCGATCTGTGCACCGGAAGCTTTAAGCGAGGTAATTTACAATAATTCCTTATTCTAACTGCATTGCTGGTTCATTTTTATAACACAGAAAGGGTTTCTTTTGCCTTGCTGACAGTTTCGTTCGCGGCTGCAAACTTCCTCAGAGCTGATGCTGATGGTGGCGTCACTTCCTACTCTGTTTATCCGCGGGCAGCAGAGGACGCTGTCGCCCTCTGCTGCCTGCTCTCTCCTCTCCGATGATGCAGTCCGATGCACGATCCAATGTGTAGACCCCATCGTCTCTGTTCATGGTCCCACATCCACGTCTCCTTATCTCTATAGCTTCTTTTATCCATCTTTTGTGTTTCTGTTGTTCGGTGTTTATGATCCTTGTGTCGTCCCAGTCCATTACATGGTTTTCTCTTGTGCAGTGATCTGTTACGGCTGACTTCTTTATCATACTTCCTGCTTCTTCTTTTGCTGCTCTTGTGTGTTTTCGACTTGTTTCTTTCTCACACTCCTTTCTATGTTCTATTGTTCGTGTGTTGAGTTGGCATCCGGTTTCTCCTATGTATGTTTTATTGCAGAGTTTGCATGGAATTTCGTAAACGACTCCACATTTATGTCCTGCTGGTCCATAGGACATAAATGTGGAGCAGGACAACGTCCTCTGCTGCCCAAGGATAAACGGAGTAGGAAGTGACGCCACCATCAGCGTCAGCTCTGAGGAAATTTGCAGCCGCGAACGAAACTGTCAGCAAGGTAAAAATAAACCTTTTCTGTGTTTTAAAAAAGAACCAACAATGCAGTTAGAAAAGCAACACAGCAAGAACATACCAAAGAAATTCCTTATTATTGTAACATTTGTGCAGAACTAAAAACAGCAGGCAGAATAACATTTTGTCCATAAATAGTGATGAATCAGAGAAATCCAGCAAACAGCTGAGATGAACACACATCTCTAGAGTTACCTTCCACTCTCCTCTAGGCCTGGGATGATAACAAATTTAGCTGGACGATATATTGTCCAACAAATTAATGATGATTAACGATATTATTCTCGACATTATCAAGACCAAAATAACCACTTATGTAATGCTAATATATAATAATAATGCAAGTAAACCCTTTGAAATGCAACAATTAAACCTTTACTTAAATGGACTTTATGGAGTTTTGAATTTTTATGCTCGCGATTGCCCCCTCAGGACAAAAGTGTAACGGCAGCTTCAATAGTAGGCTCGTGCACGAGGCGTGCATGCTGTACGTGCACACTCCTTAACGAAAATAACAGCTGAGACAGTCCTGGGGGGGGGGGGGAGACAGAGGACAGGAGAATGCGCAGCTAATTAATTAAATAATGTGGTTCTGTACCTTTCTCTTCAGCACAGCAGACGAAGGTTTAAGATGGGTCAGTCCTCCTGCATGCTCAGATCATTCCCTTCCCTTGCTTGAAAAATTGTTCCAAAATGAAAGTTAAACCCACATCTTTTTTATCTGTGAATTCAATGCCGTTCAGAGAGTGTCAAATAAAAATGTGGGCATCTTACTGTAAAAAAATATACCATTAATGTAAAAAAGAAACTCTAAATAAACTATGTTCACACCCAGAATCAAACCCAGGTCTTCTGCACAAGAGTCCAACGTCTTACTAGGTGAGCTAAAGCGCCAGTGATGTCTTTTGTATCTGTAACATTTATATCCTTGATGACAGCTGAAACAACGTTCAAAGAACAGTTCAGAGTGAAAATGGCTATTTTGTTGCTAATTTGCAGGAAATATCTAGAAGAAAGTTCTACAGAAAGTAGCTAAGGGTCCTCAGAAATGTAGCTAGCTTTGTCACTAGGCGTTAGGAACAGCAACAAAGTGGCACTTCCCCTCTCTCTGCTGCTAAAGCTATGGATAGCAAAAGCTACGGGCGATGCCTGAGCGTGAACGCGCATGAAGCAGCCTGCTCGACCCGAGCATCTCTCTTTTTCTGTGATTTTACAGAAAAACAGGCAATCACAGTAAAAATGCCAGGGCTCATTCTACAGGACCAGGGCATTGCAGGAGAATGTATGAAGAAGACATTTATTATTTCTATACATGTTTTGGCTGTCAAACTTCCATAATGCCCCTTTAACACTGGAATGCCCAGAACCAAAACTTATAAATAAATAAATAAATACAAAAGGACTTTCACTCTCTGTTAGAAAATATTGCACCAAAAACAATAAAATAGACCCTTTCTCTCCAAAACAATAAATACAATGGCCTATCTACTGTCAACAACCAAAATGGTACTTTGATAATGATAATAACTAATTATAACAGAGCTTTACATTTCTTAACCCCGAAATATTGAGGCTGGAAAAATTAACGAGTGCATTTTCATCTATCATACGATTGATTGTTAATTATCGTCCCAGTCCTACTCTCCTCTCAAAGGAACGGAAACATTAGGCTACATCGGCTTTTATAAAAGCCCCTTGTGGGTTATTAAATATTTTCAGACGTTTACGGTTTTTCATATTAATTCCTAATTAATTATATGACGAACTCCGATGATTTTCTGATTCTGTTGGTTAATTCTTCTGAGTGACTGAGTGACCGTTTAAACCTCTTGAAATTTTTTTGCATTTTGTAGAAATTCAAACTGATGGTTCTGTTTTCAAACTAGCTCAACAGAGTATTGTAGCATCAAAAATATATACAACATGTAAATATCAGAGTCTTCAAAAGCACTGACGAAGAGCATTTTCTTTTCACGATGAACAAATTGATGAATCAAAAAGAAAAGAAAATCAAACATCCGTCGCAGAGAAAGAGAGAAGGGAAAAAGTAAAGGTGGTGATGTTTAAAAACCAGTTCAAGATAATAGGGCAGGGCAGGGCAGCCCTGCAGGGCAGGGCAGGGCAGGGCAGCCCTGCAGGGCAGGGCAGGGCAGGGCTGGGCGGCCCTGCAGGGCAGGGCAGGGCAGAGCAGGGCAGGGCCGCCCTGCAGGGCAGGGCAGGGCAGGGCAGGGCCGCCCTGCAGGGCAGGGCAGGGCAGGGCAGGGCAGGGCCGCCCTGCAGGGCAGGGCAGGGCAGGGCCGCCCTGCAGGGCAGGGCAGGGCAGGGCAGGGCCGCCCTGTAGGGCAGGGCAGGGCAGGGCAGGGCCGCAGGGCAGGGCAGGGCCGCCCTGCAGGGCAGGGCAGGGCAGGGCCGCCCTGCAGGGCAGGGCAGGGCAGGGCAGGGCAGGGCCGCCCTGCAGGGCAGGGCAGGGCCGCCGGGCCGCCCTGCAGGGCAGGGCAGGGCAGGGCAGGGCAGGGCAGATTCTATAATGTTGTTAGTGATTTAAAAAGTGCTGAAGCGATACGGTGTCACAGCTATCCACATTCCCCAGAGAGTATATTATTTACAAGCTGTGCAGGGTTTCATCACTAGATCCACACTGTCATTGTATACCGTAGGATAAGAGCCAGAGCACCTGTGAACAACCCATTATTGGTTAGGAATATAAACAGATTTTAGAGAAACTGGTTTTAATTTAACTAACCGTGTCGTCTTTCAGTCACGATTTGATGTTTTATCAATAAAAATAAAAAAGAAGTGGCTTTGAACTTTGAGCTTGCTGTCAACAAATTTACACAAAGAAAACAAATAATTTGATGAATCAGTTTTGTTTCTTTAAAAGGGAACATAAGCAAAGCTCACCTTTTACACCCTTATTGCTATCATGTGTACGTTCTCCATAAATACTCCAAACTCGATAAAAATATGTCCATCCATTTTTTTGTCAGTGTTTGGTTTAGGAATTATGTGTCTAAAAAAAGTCATTTCAAAACGTCACCATTTGTGATGTCACAAGTAGGGCTGCAACTAACGATTATTTTCATAATCGATTAATCTGTCGATTATTTTTTCGATTAATCGATTAATCGGTTTGTTATTGTTTAGCTATTTAACCTATACAAGTGATGGATGCATTTCAGTTAAGAACAAAAAACCATAAGAGAATTGTGCAGTTGACTGCAATCTATTTTATTGCACATGAACACAGTCAGCAGTATAAAATGAGCTAAACAGTGCAAAATATCAGTCCAGAATAATTTTTTAGCATTAGCTGGAAGCCTGCTCCTTCCACCATGGATAGTGGCCTCATGTCTTTTACCAGCATGTTTAGAATAGAGTTTGTAAGTGGTATGAATTGCTGGGGGGTGAGTGTCTTCTTCCCCATGTAGTTGTCCATCGTTGCTTGTTTTTTTCTGCATAAGAAACACAAATAGACTGAAATAAGTACACATATAAAATAAAGCAGCACACACACTACAACACTAAATCAATATTATATTATTTGAATTAATTAACAATATACAGTGATCATTTATTTTGAGGGTTACGTTCTACAAAATAGCCCGCAACAGGAGATATTCAGAAAAAAAGTAAAACATTTTTACTATTAAAAAGCTCTAAGTAAGAAGCTCATGAGGTTTTTACTTTGAGTCGGGAGTGTTTAAATTAGCCAGAGAAATGTGAAAAATGTTTATTTTGTGTAATACTGTTTAAGAAACATGATAAAAATGTGTTGTGAGGCGTTTTACAGTGTTAGATAGTAAAACAGCCTTTTAATAGTAAAAAAATGACTTTTTCTGAATTTCTCCTGTATTTAAAAATTGAAAGTGTACAACTATGCCGCGTTATATTCACCTGGAC